ACACACACACACACACACACACACACACACACACACACACACACACAAACAGGATCAGTATATCATTTTCCCAAGAGCTTCTCATGTACTCAACATATATTTATGTACCCGATTCTGGCCTCATAGAGCTCAGAGGGAACTACAGTCATTCAATAATAAGGAGTTCTCAGAGAAAACTCCAACTCCACAAGGCCCCACCCTAAATTCGTACCATACCTGTCTCAGTCCCTTTCCAGAGTCTGGACCTGAGCCCATGTGACATAGCTCCTCTGGGGTACTAGTAGCCTTCCCCAGTCCCATAAGAACTGAGCCAGCCTACCTCTGCTTAGATAGGGCTGGGCTTCCAGGCAGCACCACTTTTTTTTTTTTCCTCTCCTGGCTCCAAGTCATGCAGGTTTCCCTCTGCCAGCTTGTGGGAACATATTTGTTTTCACATGTCTGTCAGGTGAGCCCAGGTATCCATGGGAACAAAACCAGTAAACACCTAAGGAGCCTTTATTCTTATGTAAAAGTTAGCTGCAAACAGAGACAAGCAGAGAACCCCAGGCCCAACAACCACTCCAGCTTCCTCTATTCCACCAGATCCTATGGGGCTGGGGGCTGGGGGGGGGGACTACTAGGTGTTCCTTCAGTACTCATACAACCAGACACTGGTGTTTCTGATGTGCCTTTATTAAGTATGTCTGATACACTGGTGAAACTACAGTTCCCAATGGCTTTATTTATACGTTTTTTTTTTGGTACCAGGGATCGAACTCAGGACCTTGCACTTGCAAGACAGGCGCAGTGCCACTGAGCTAAATACCTGGCCCCTCAATGGCCTTATTTGGAGAGGTGGGGTATAGTCACAGCCCCACAAGATCTCTAGCCTAAAATCTCAGCCCTGCCACCTGAATAAGGGTCACTATGTAGCCTAGGCTGGCTTTGGACTTGTAGCTATCCTCCTGCCTCAGGCGTGTGCCACCATGCCTGGCTTTCCTGCTGGATTTTCAAAAAGACTCCTCCTTCAGCTAAGGAGAAAGACAGATTCACATACTTGTGAGAAAAGTTAAGGCTTCTTTATCTTCACTCAATAACAAAATATAATTGTCACTAGAAGCATGTCCTTAGCCAAAGTAATTAGAGCCCTTATCTCTTTGGTAAAACTCCCAGGCACAGAGTTATGATGTAACCTCAGTGAATTACCTGAGAACAGATGGTTAAGTCTCAGGTTGGACTGGCCACATAACCCCAAGGCCATCCTTTACCTCTCCTGTACAAGGTGTGATTAAACATCTGGGTGAATGTTTAAATATTTTTTAAAAATTTAACCAGGCACGGTGGTGCGTGCCTGTAATCCCAGCACTTGGGAGCCTGAGGCAGGAAGATCAGCTTAAGTTCGAGACCAGTTGAGCTACACAGTGAGTTCAAGGCCAGCCTGAACTAGTGAGACCCTGTCTCCAAAAAAATATTTATTACAGTAAAAGACAGTGCCATTAATCCTCCTCAGATTATTCCCTCTTACATCAAATATGTTTATCCTATTATTCTTGCCACTTTCTAGAGTACTACCAAAGTCCTCTCTCATGTCATTCAATGTGTGATCAGCCAGGCATATAAGCTTATAAGCCCAGGACTCTGGGAGGCTGAGGCAGGAGGATCAGAAATTCGAGCCCAGCCTAGGTAACTCAGTGATTTAGTGAGACCCTGTCTCAAAATTTTAAAAAAATGGGGCCAGGGATTTAGCTCAGTGGTTCTGGCGCCTGCCTCGCAAGCGCAAGGTCCCAAGTTCGATCCCCAGTACCAAAAAAGAAAGGAAAAGGGCCTCGGGTATAATTCAATGAGAAGGCCCTGGGTTCAATCTCTAGCGCACACACACACACACACACACAAAAGTGTGATAAAAAAATATAGTGAATGCGGGCCGGGGATTTAGCTCAGTGATTTCACCACCTGCTGTGCAAGTGCAAGGGCCAGAGTTCAATCCCTGGTACCAAAAATAAATAAATATATATATATATATATATATATATATATATATATTGAATGCTTCTGCTGAGTGCTATCCAAAAAGGCAAGATCATAAAAACATGGTGTGTCCTCATCCATTTTGTTCACCAGATCTGGCACCATGCAATTTCTGGCTCTTCTTCAAGATCAAGAGGTAAGCATTTTAAATTGATTCAGGATATCAAAACAGCTAGAACAGCACACCTAAAGACACTCACAAAAGAGGACTTCCAGAACTGCTTCAGAAAGTGGCAAGAATGACAAGATAAGTTTGTTCAGAGCAATCTGGAGTATTGTGGGGGGGGGGAGTAACGGCTGTGTCTTTTACTGTAATAAATTTTTAAAAATTAAACATTCACCATAGTTTACAATCACACATCATATATCTAAACCTCACTTCACACAACTCTACAAAATCTACAAACCACCTATTTAAGTCAAGATTTGAGCTGGGGACAGAGTTAACAAGATCAGTACAGACAATGCCCTCACAGAACACACAGCAGGCAGTATAGCAGCAAGGAAATGAGAAGCACATGGAGATCACAAGTCCCATAGGCAGAGACCAGCGGTTACCAGCAATCTGCATTTCACCCTTCATCTTCCCAAACAGCCTCACTGACCTTTTATTCTTTGGGTTTTTGTTTTTTGTGTTTTTGGGTTTTTTTGAGACAGGGTCTCCATATGTAGTCCAAACTGGCCTTGAACTCAAACTATGTTCCCCAAACTAGCCTTGAACTCGCTGTGATTCTCTTGCCTGAGCCTCCTAAGTGCTGGGATAACAGATGTGCACCCCCAAGCCCAGCTAGCCTCGCTGACTTTGTGAGGGTCAAATTAGACAATATAAAACTCTTCAATAATATATGAAGCTTTCATCAGCAGGGATAACAATACTGCAAGACAAACTCTGGAACAGAGGCGGAGAAGGAGGAAAGAAGAGAGAGAAGCTCATGTCACTAAAAGATAAAATCTAGTACAAAATGGGAAGTCCTCGACTTCTAGCTTCCATTTAGAATACAGAAAGGTAAAAAAAACATTGTTCTCACTCCAATGACAAGAAAAAGCCAGATAATCTATAAAACCATAATTTTTCTTTCCTTTTAAGCAATGGCAAAGTTTATTTGAAAAAGTAAAAGTGAAGAGTGAAGGAGAAACTGGCTCTGCAGAGAGAGCTTGGGCCAAGTAAAAGAAGAAAAAGCAAGATAAAAGAACACCCTTGAGGAACCAGGGTGAGCTATGATGAGGAAAGTCATGATAGCATAAAACCTCAATTTTTCTTGAAGTTACCATGGAGCAGAGATTACAAGGCAACAAACTAGACTGAAATTGAAGGGAAGACATGCACATTCAAGGAGAGAGATTCGAAGTCCAGCTTACCTGTGTAGTGGGAAAAACGGTGAGACCATGATACAACGGGTGAGAAAAATCAAGTATAATTTTTAATTAGCTAATCATGGTGGCATACGCTTGTAATCTCAGCAATTCTGGAAGTCTGAGGCAAACTGACTGCAAATTCAAGCTCAGCCTATCTCAAAATACAAAGTTAAAAAAAGGGCTGAAGCTATATCAATCTCAAGTACTGAAAAAAGAAAAAAAGAATGAATATTGAATTGTAAACCCCTGGAGAAAAGGCAGTTACTCCCAAGGCAGGTGGGGCAGTGGAAAAGAAAAAATAAAAATAATAAAACAAAACGCCCTCTGTCTGGGAGAAGGTCAAGAAATTCTGATTAAGACTATTGAAGGTATCCTCCTCTTGGGGAAGACAGAATCATCCAGAAAGATCTACCCCAAAAACTCAAGGACACACTCTCTTGAGCCTGAACCTGGATAACAGAGAACCTCCTTATTCCCCAGAACCAGGTTAGCAAGCACCTAGGAACAAGCAATGGCAGTTTGCCACTGAGAGGGCAGTGAACTACACACAGAGAAGAGCTAAAGCTGAGGTTAAGAGCATGAACTAAGAAAAAGCATTCCTTCCAGCAAACCAAACCAGCCGTAAGTGCAAGGAGCCACCGGAGGAAACTGAAGGTAAGGTTCTGTACAGTAACCATAAAAACAACAAAACCCCAAACACAATTCTAATCCTGACTCAAACTCTCATACCAAGAACCTAGCAAAAGAGGCATACTCACTTCCCAAAATAAATTCCTGTCTCCACTCTTCCACTGTCTGACAAGTCAATAACAAACTATAAGCAACACAAAAAGAACAAGAAAAACAGCCCACTCTTAAGATGCAAAGTAATCAATGGGACCAGAGCTAGAGGTGACCCAGATATTGAAAACATCAAACAGGTAATTTGAACTATGATGGGGGTGGTGTGTAACTCAGTGGCTAGCATATGTGAGGCGGTGGGTTCAATCCCCAGAACTGTCAAAAATTAAAGTGACTGGGCCGGGGATTCAGCTCAGTGGTTTCGCTGCCTGCTACATAAGCGTAAGGACCCAAGTTTGATCCCTGGTACCGAAAAAAAAAAAAAAAAATTAAAGTGACTATGATTAATATGTTAAAGGCACTAATGAAAAAATTAGACAGCAGGTAGGAATAAATGTGGAATTTTAGCAGAAGATAATCATAAAAGTCAAAATGGAAAAAAGTAAAACAGGGGCAAGTATCTAAGAGATACAGGACAATATCAAACAATCTGAAATAAATACTTTTTTTGTTTTTTCGGTTTTTTTGGTACTAGGGATCAAACTCCAGACCTTGCACTTGCGAGGCAGGCAGTGGAACCACTGAGCTAAATCTCCGGCTGAAATAAAAATTGGTTTTTTGGGCCAGGATTTAGCTCAGTGGTGCCGTCGCCTGCCTCAAAAGCGTAAGGTCCTAAATTCAATCCCGAGTACCAAAAAAAAAAAAAAAATTGGTTTTTTGTTTTGGTTTGGTTTTTTTAGACAGAGTCTCACTATTAGTTCAGGCTGGCCTCAAATTTGTGGCAGTCCTCCTGCCTCAGTCTTCCAAACGCTGGGATTACAGGTGTGTGCCACCACACCTGGAAAAAGTTGTTTATTTTTAATTGCTTAGAATATAATTGATAAAAAAAGAACATAATTGATGGCCAAAGCAAAAACAGTAGCAATAGACTGTAGATTTATAGCACATGTAAAAGTAAAATATCTAATGACAATATGACAATAGGACAAATAATAGGAAGGAAGAATTGAGAGAATACTTTTACAAGGTTCTGACATGTAAGATGATATAATATTATTTAAAGGCACACTGTTAATAATTAAAGATTTATAGGACTGAAAGTATAACTTAGTGGCAGTGCACTGCCTAACATGCAACATGGGTTCAATCCCTAGTGTCACAAAAACAAATAAATATATACATACATTGTAAAACTAAGGCAATCACAAAAAGAAAGCAAAAAAAAAAAAAAAAAGAAAGAAAGCAAAAGAGGAGGTATAAATAATAAGCCAGCAATAGAGATAAAACAGAATCATGGTTCAGGTGTGGCCCATGCCTATAGTCACAGCACTCTAGGAGGCCGAGGCAGGAAGACTGCAAGTTTGAGCCCAGTCTAGGCAATTTAGGGAGACTGTCTCAAACTGAAAAATAAAAAACAGCTAGTGACGTGAAAGCCCTAGGTTCAATCTGAAAGCCCTAGGTTCAATCCCCATATTCCAAGAAAAACAAACAAAAAACCCAAAATCATGAAAAATAATCCAAAAGTAGGCAGAAAAGAGGAACAAATAGAACAAATAGAAAAAAACTAAAAGAACAGAACAAATAGAAAAAACTAAAGTGGCAGATTTTAATCTAATTATATCATTACTTATGTTAAATACAAATGATTGGGCCGGGGATTTAGCTCAGTGGTTCTGGCGCCTGCCTCTCAAGCACAAGATCCTGAGTTCAATCCCCGGTACCAAAAAAAAAAAATAAATAATAACCAAATGATTTAAATATACGAAGTAAAAGACAGTATCAGATTAGGTTAAAAAAGCAAATCCCAGTCAGGTGTGGTGGTGTTCATCTATAGTTCCAGCACTCAGGAGGCTGAGGCAAGAGGATCACTGAAAGTTTCAGGCCAACCTGGGCTACACAGTAAATTCAAGGCCAGCCTGAACTACATAGCAAGACCCTGTCTCAAAAAAAAAAAAAAATCCCAATATGCAATAGATAAGAAACTTTAAATATAAAGACATAAATCAATCATGATAGTGCACACCTGTAATCCCAGCACTTGGAAGAAGAGGCAGGATCACCATGAATTTGAGACTAGCATGGGCTACATAGTGAGTTCAAGGCCAGCCTGAACTACATTGCAAGACCCTGTCTCTAAATAAATAAATAAAAAGACATAAAGCAACAACAGGTAAAAGGATGGAAAAAGATAAACCATGTAAATACTAACCAAAAGAAAGCTGGATCAGCTACTCAAGAAGCTGAAGTTAAGAGGCTCACAAATTCAAACCCAGCTTTGGCGATTTAGGTATACCCTGCCTCAAATAAAAATAAAATGGGTGAAAGTGTAAATAAGGATTAAAATGATTAAAATGAATAATTGATAATTTGAAATAGGAAGAAAAGGTCCAAAGGGGCCGGGGATTTAGCTCAGTGGTTCCAGTGCCTGCCTCACAAGCGCAAGGACCCGAGTTCAATCCCTGGTAGAAAAAAAAAAAGGTCCAAAGGGGGAGGGGGAAGTGGGAGGGGAAGGGGAAAGGAAAGAAGGGAAAGGAAAAATTATGAGAAAAGGAAAAAATGGAAACAAAGTCTTTGTACATAGGGAAAGGTGGTGAAGGGAGGACAGGGAATGGGGAAAAAATAAGAACCAAGATACATCACGTACAGGTACAAGTACCCAATGATAAATGTAAACGTGTTGTATACCTAAAATGTACCAATAAAAAAATTTAAGCAAATAAACAAACAAATAAATAAATAAATAAAATGGGGCCAGCTATGGTGGTGTACACCTGTAATCCTAGCACTCAGGAGGCTGAAGCAGGAGGATTGCAGATACTTCAAGGCCAGTCTCAACTACATGGAGACCTTCTCAAAAAAAAGGCGAAAAGGCAGGAGACGTAGCTCAATGGCAGAGTATCCCTGGATTCAATCCCTAGTACCCACCCACCCCCAAAAAAAGAGAGAAAGAAAGCTTTTTTTCCTCCAGTACTGGAAATTGAAGCCAGGGCCTGAGCAATGAGCTACACCCTCAGCCCTTCCTTTACTTTAAGACAAAGTCTGGCTAAGTTAGCCAAGCTGTAGTGAAACTTGGGATCCTCCTGCCTCAGCTTCTTGGACTGCTGGAATTACAGGTATGTGCCACCATGCCCGGCTTGCAATAGCTTATTTTATTAACATCAAACATTTTCTGCCTCAGTACTTATTTACTCTTCAGGTATAAGCTGATGAAAAAAAAGGGCCGGGGATTTAGCTCAGTGGTTCTGCCACCTGCCTTGCAAGCACAAGGTTTGATACCCGGTACTAAAAAAAAAAAAGAAAAAAATGACAAAAAGCTATCTGACTATAGTAATGGTTTTGTTTGAATTCACTTGCATTTAATCAATCAAAACCATACTACATACAGTCCCCCCAAAAAAGCAGTCTGCACCTAAGATACATTATCTATCTTGTCCCCATAGATAGATCTGCAGACCCTCTGCACCAATGATTCTAAGAGCCCATAATTAAGCCAATACCTCATCTAGTAGGCTGGTATTGTGAGTGGGTCATCAAAATTCTACCAGGTTGCAGTCCTGAGTCAACTATCCTTCAATTTGTTACAATCAATAAGAGAAACCAGTACGGGACAATTATATAGTATCAATCTCTCAGTCGAACACACTGAAATTTCTAAAATCATTGTTGACAATGCTAAAAACCAAAAAAACAAGGGTAAGCCCCGCTTGTAAAGACACATTGGAGGAAGGTGGAGAAAATGGAGTGCTTCCTGCCATTGTCTGCTTTGTCCTTGGGCCACTAAAACAGTTGGTAGCCACTGCCGTCAAGGAACCAGCCCGACTTCTGGTTTGGAGTTTCATCCCTAGTTGTGAACACAAATTGGCTTGTCTCATGATACCCACAGCTAGGACATTTTCCCTGTAATTATCAATTGTTGTTGTTTTACATTAACTAAAAGAGTGTCTTTGATCCCTAGAGTTTGTCAGTGTTAAATTATTTCCACTGTGAGGTTAAAATTTTCTCATTTCACAATATTGAAACAATTCATGTTAGATACCCTTTCCACATGAAAGATCTGCAACTGAGACATTACATATGTTTTACTGTTTATAATAAAAATCATCTATACAAAGGAAAGAAAAAGAGACAATACAGAGTCTGGGGGTATAGCTTAGTGGTACAGCACATGCCTAGCATGCTTTAGGCCTTGGGTTCAATCCCCAAGACTAGAAAAAAAAAAAAGGCAAAGACATAGTGCAGCTTTTTAACATGTTTTTAATCCTATTTTTAAAGCTCCGCACCAAATAAGAATTTACTAAAATTTCCCCATGAAAATTCAACCATAAAATTGTCATATGAAATATTTAAGTATTTATTTATTTTGGTTTTTTTGAGATAAGTGTCAGGCTTGATCTGGTCATGAAATGAGTAATGAATATGCTGTTTAATTCCAAGCTACAGCAAACTGCAGCCCTCAGCAGAACACACAACAGATGCAGGCTGTGCTGTCTCTGAGCAGATAGAACACAGAACAAGATGTTATAGAAGAGATAAGACCACAGAAGAACAGCACAACACCTTCCCTGCCTTGACCGCTGCACGGACCTCAACCACACCGACCCCTGTACGTGACAAACATGACAGACTCTTCTCCCAACCCCTTATAAAGCTCCCTGCTTTTCCTTTGTTCGTCACTGATGGGCCTCTCACTCTCAGTCCACCTCCACCCAGGTGAATAAAGTCTGTGCCTCTCTGCTTTCCACTAGCCTGCTCCAGTGGTCTCATTCCTCCACTGATTGTCACAAGGTCTCACTATATAATTTAGACTGGCCTCAAACTTGCAATGATCCTCCTACCTTGCACTCCTGAGTGCTGGAATTAGAGGCATGTGCCACCACACCTGGCTATATAAAATTTTTAGAAAAAATCGATCTATATCAAAGTTCAATTACAAAAATTTTTTAAACATATTTATTGTAATTTCTATCAAATAACAATAATTACGTGACTTTTTATATTTACCTTTTTACCTAAGATGCCACCAAACTCGAATTCAGCTCCCAGTCACAGTAAATAAGATGCCCTGCTTCAACAGTACTTGCTACCTACCCTTTTTTGTGCCTTTTGTTATCTATTTCAGTAACCTTATTGCAAGTATCTTTAATTATAAACCACCATAATTACTCTTTAGAAAAAGGTAAAACATGGGCCAGGGATTTAGCTCATGGTTCTGGCACCTGCCTCACAAGCCCAAGGTCCCGAGTTCAATCCCCGATACCAAAAAAAAGAGAAAAAGGTAAAATATAAATAAATTACAGTGCTATATAACATTTAATAATAGAGGTGTTAATGGTGTAAGCCATTCTCTTTACTAGTATCATGTTCATATCATATGCAATTAAATAAAATGTTTTATAAATCACAAAGACCAAAGAAAGCTACTAGAGAACACAGTAATATTCACCTGTCACAAAATAAGTGCAGAAAATCACACTTTCATAATCAGCTTCATCACAGACAGGTTAGGTATTGAGATGAAAATGAAGTCTCTACAGCAACAGCTAATTCCACTTGTCTGTTTTGGCCATTTTATCTCTATAACAAAGAGGTAATTTATAAAAAAGAAAAAATGAATGTAGTGGGCCAGGGATTTAGCTCCGTGGCACCATGCCTCCCTTTCTTTCTTTCTTTTTTTTTTTTTTTTACACCTCCCTTTCAAGTGCAAAGTCCTGAGTTCAATCCCCCATACTGGGAAAAAAAAAATGAATGTAGTAAGCAGCAGATGATATATTCCTTTGTAAAATCTAAATTTTACCTGCCCATTAGAGGCAGCCCTCAATTACTGAGATCCATTCTAGTCACAAGGGCACAAGTGACTGAAGCAATCAGCTCAAACCTCATCAGAAAACTAGTCTGGCCATCTGAAATCATGTGTGTCTAGGCAGCTGCTGCTCCTAACCCTCCTAAATCCTGGGAGCATTATTTGAATAACATTTATAGAAACACCTGCACAATTTGAACTACAAAAAAGCATAGAGGCCGGGCTGGGGACTTAGTGGGTTCAGGTGCCTGCCTTGCAAAAGCAAAGTCCTCAGTTTGATCCCTGGTACCAAAAAAAAGAAAAAAAAAGAAAAGCATAGAGGTCAGTAAACAAAGAACAGAAGAAAAATAAAGGAAAGGAAGGGGGAGGAGGAGGGGAGGAAAAGGAGAGAGGGAAAGCAAAAAGAAGTTCCAGGAAGATCAGATTCATAACTGGTATACACTTTTAGCCTGCAATAAAAATATGCCTACAGCCAGATAAAGGAAGGAGGTAGAAACAAGGAAGATAAAAGTGAAAATCAGGCTTGTGGTTTTCCACGTTCGCCAGGAAAGAAAAATCAAACTTATCAATTCAACAGTATGAGACCAAATTCAGGAAGCAAAAGCCATCAGCAATACCACCGCAATGTGACAATAGTAATGCTGGCAGCCTGGGCTGTTTCCTGAAGGGCCCTTCCAGGCAAAAAGAGGTGAAAATGACCTCAGGAAGTAGTCACAGGTCTAAGTTTGCTCCTCCTTCATCTTCAAATAAGGAAGCAGCTCTCAGAAATAAGGCACCAGCTGTTGTATCAGCTGGCCCGGGGAAGTGTCGCGTGCGAGACACCCTGCCGCCGCCGACCCCCGCCCAGACTGAATTCTTTTTAATTGTGTCACTAAGCACATTGCCCGGTGCCTGTAAGCGTTTCTCCACGACATCTGTTAAGTTAGATGTTGATTCCTATTTATACTGACCATTACACAACACGGTGACCAGACTGTTGGCTTAGCGCTCCAGTGGAGGATTTTCAAAATGTTTTTCACAAGTATCTCCTGGTATTTATCACGAGATGGTCGAATGAGATAAGAGAACATGGACCGCTCCGAAGAACCAAGATAAAGAGGAGCAGCCTGTTCCTGAACTCCAATATCCCTGCACTCCAAGTCCTGACACCAGCAGGCTGCAGCAGCCCCAGGAAGCTTACTTAGTTCCTGCTTTGCACATTCATGCCTTGCACCCTTGGCCTGGGTCACGCTCACAGGGTCGCTCACACATCCCGCCCCAGGTGTTTCACTCTCAGTCTCGCTCTCAGTCTTACATCCTCAGTCTCTCACACACCATCTCCTTCACACTCACTATCTCCCTCACCCTCGGGCTCTTGCACACTCAAGTCACCCTCATACCCACGGTTTTTCTTTCACATATGATCTCCCTCACACTCAGGTTCTCACACACTCCCCGAGTCACTTCACACCCCTAGTTTCTTTTCTCTTCACACACGTGGTCTCCCCCACACTCACAAAGCCACCATCAGACCCCGAGTCGGTCTCTCTCTCACACACATAATCTTTCTCACACTCTGAGCACACTCTCAGTCGTACACTCGGGGTCTCCCGCACTCCTGAATTACCCCACATTCCAAGTCCCTCTCCCATTCCCAGCCTCACCCTCTCGCCCGCGGCGTCCTCCACGCAAAGAAGGCCCGGCGGCGACCCCGTGCCATTTCCGGCCGGCATCCCGCACGCGGCGGCGGCTGCGCGGAGCGTTCGGCTCCCGCGAGACGCGGCCTCAGCCCCGCCGGGCTCCGCGGCCCCGCGTCTCAGTATATGCTGCACCCCGGTGTCTTCCGCGTCCCAGGGCCTCGCAGCCCCGTTCTCTCGTGGCCGGCCCGTTACCTACAAAGACCAGGCACACCCAGGATGCTCTGTCGCTCTACCGCCAAGGCCGCTAGGCCCCGCCCTCGCCACGTCACTTGCCGGGGGATCGCGACAGTGCCCGCCGCGTCGGGGCAGGGCTCAGTGCCAGCGCTGCTTACGGTGGCCTCCGGACTCCAGAGGTCACCGTGGCCTCGGGCGGTCCCAGTCTTGGTGCCCAGTCACTGGCCGCCCCTGAGCCTAGGATGGCCACTTCCCATCCTACACAGTGCCTCCACCTGGGGTTGCTGCCCCCCCCAGAGCTCTAAAGGGCCCCCACATCCTGTTTCCATCTGAGCTTTGGCCAGCCCCACTCGAGGAAGTCCCTAGGTAGTTTACACAAGGAGCCCCATCCTCCACACCCAGGTCACAGCCAGCCAGCCTCTCCTACCTACCCCAGAAGAAAAACAACCCTAGGACTTGTCCTCCCACACTCAGCTCAGTCTCAAATCCACTGAGGCATGGCAGACGCAGACATGTGGGCTTCCTTAGCCAACATGCCCAGGCCTCCCTGGGGCTCTGTCCTCATCTTGCCTGACCCTGAAGGCACCCCTCTTGGGCAGCTGTGCCCTCCCACCTGTCCTCTTCCTCTCTTTCTGGTTCCTCCTTTCTCCTGTTTGGGCTTCTTTTCCTCTGGTACCTTGTCTAGGCCTCCTGATCTCATGGGCCCCTGGCCATTCTGCACTTACTTTCTCCTGTCCTGTCCACATCTCCTACACTTACTCTCTCCTGGGCCATGCAGTTATTCCTCCCAGCTTTGTGCTCACAGCTGCACATCCTCTGGCTCCAGACCACACCCAATCTCTTGCTTCTCTCCACCCAGTGGCCCAACAAGACAGGACCCAGGACTCTTCCTCCTCCTCTCCCCAATGCCTGCATCCCATGTTTTCCTTCTCCCTAGCTACAATAGCCTCCCAATCCTTATCCTGTGCCCTCTCATTCCCCGGGGGTAGCATGTGCTGCTGAAATAGACTGGAATGACTTCATATCTCCTCTGCCAAAAAACCCGTCTACCCTACAGTCCTGGCATGACAATCTCTAAGGAGTCCTCACTGGTGCTGCCCTTGGTGTGCCCTCTGCTTTGGTGTAAATGAGCATGTGTGTGTATTTGGGTCAGAAGAGTCTGACCCTTTATCTCCTGTCTGCTTCCTCCAGTCTCTCTGGCCAGGCAGAGGGTCAGCTCTGGCTGACCATGTCACTACTCAGTGGCAGTCAGTCAGCTTGTCCTTGCAACTGCATATAAAAACCTGCTGGCTCCTAGACTGCCAGCTTTGCTTTCTCACACCCAATTACACCAGCCCATCAGCTGAAAGTGCCTAGTCCACCAGGCATTGAATCAAATGTTCTCCAAAATCATCAGCACTCCAGGACCAACCTGCAGGATACATTTATCTTTATCCTTCAGATAAGGAAACTGAGGCTCAGGGAGATCTAGAGGCTCCCCAAGGTACTGGGCTAAAGCTAGGAGAACTGGGATTTGAACCCAGGTAAGTTGGTCCTGAAACCTGCTCTGACTCCATACCCTCTCTGCAGCTGTGAAACCCAAGGTGGCAGTGGGGTTAGAACGGGTTGAAGTGGGTGACTACAAAGCCCCACAAATAGCATGGGTGGATGGGTGTCAGGGTGGGAAGGACCTGGGAATAAGGCTTCCTGTCACACTGACATCCTTTTACAGAGGCCCAAGTTGCCACTGGGCATCCTCACCCCTTGGGCATCCTCACCCTTTCTCAAGGTCACCCCTTCCTGCCATATCTGGCTAACACTGTATTGTAGGTGGTGTGGTGAGATGATGCAAATGCCCTCTAGTGGCCCATGTTGTATTAAAGCCTAAAGTTCAGACAGGCATGGCTCAGTGGAGACCAGAACAGGAGCTGCTGCCACAACAGGCTCCAGGCTCTGTACCACAAAGTTCACCCTATGCATGTTTCCCTGTCTCAGACTCTCTTCATACATCTCCATTTCATTCTACCTCTTGGTCCCTGTCTCTACCCATCTTCCTCTGCCCCTACATCTCAGCATAGTCTCTTCCTCCATCAGTCTCTGGCCCCAAAGGAGGACATATAGCAGGCAGATGAGCTCAAGAAACTAAGAAGAGTGGCATCTGAAACCTGTAAGCTGAGACAGAAAGGGTTGAGTTTAGCCAGGATGACCTGTAGGCCTATCCTGGCTCCCAAGCTCTCCAACAGCACGTAAACGCTGCTGACCAAGCAGGAGCAGAGAGACAGCTGGAGCCTAATTCCAAGAAAAATGTTTTAGGTCATAGTTCTTGCTCTGAGGCAAACTAGATTCCAGGGCAGCGGGCAAGAGAATGAAGTTCAAGGCAGGGTACGGGAGTTATGCTCTGGTACTGAGACACCATCAAGGCCCTAGTAAAGGTCCAGCCCAATTACCTGCCTCTCTAGTGCCCTCATACATCCACCACCTCTGTCCTCTCATGCTTAGAGCGGATCCAAGACTAGAACACTTTACAGCATCCTTTTTACAAAAGTACAGCATACTTTTATTGCCAGAATCGAGGTACATCCTGCTCAGACCCCATATGGCGCCCACCACTCAGGACAAAAGGAAAAAGATGTTGGGCACAAATACAACAGCAAAAATCCAGCTCCACAGAAACCTTGTAGGAGTGTCACAGTCCAGTCAGAGAGAGGCTTTGACTTCAACCTTGAGGGTGGACCTAAATCTCAGCCTCTGGCCAATTACCCATCTAGAGCCCACTGCCACTAAGACAGGCTCAGTCTCTCCATCCCTGCTATCATGGGGAGACCCATGCAGCACGCCTGTGGCAGACAGAAAAAAACCCAGGGGCATCTATGCTCCTGGCTCTCTCAGGGACTCACTCCAATCTCTGGGTTTGTCCCTTCATTAGAAAAACCATTGACCTGCCTAGCGGGAGCAGATACTGGGCAGGAGCCCCACCACCTCTCAGCTGTGCCAGCCCAGCTGGGTGCTGAGACCATATGGCAGGGTGGCAGTGAGATTCACAAGAGGGCAGCTCAAGGCAGCTGGTTGCCTCAGAGTTCCCTTTCTTCACAGGTACTCAGAATACCATGGCATTGGGCCCTGCCCTCCTTGAACCATAATCCCAGAACCAAAGGAGCCAGCTTTAATACTGGGACCCACAGTACAACCAGGGGCACCAGGACTCCTGGTAGCCATCTGCTGCCCAATCTAGAACTGGGCTGCTACTGCAGGTGAGAGAGGTAGGAATGGAGTGAATGCCCCAAGTCCTGGGAGCCATGGAAAATAAAACTGCCCCTGCCTGCAGGGGGTACCAGGCTGTCTACCAGCGAGGCCACAGGTAACCCAGCAGCTTCAGCCACCCCTGTCTAGTAGCAGGCCTGTATGAGGCCAGTGCATGGGAAGGGTCACCTGAGGGTCAGAGAGCTCAGAATATCCCTCACAGAAGTCCAGAACCCAGTGGGCGAGTGTGGAAAGCCCACAGGGGTAAGGGGAATGCATGCCCCCTGAGCTGGGGATTGAGTCCAGGTGCCAATCAATCCACCCTGCAGATCCAGTCCTGAGTGACAATGATTCCACCATCAGCATCATTCTTTATATCAAGGGTCTTTTGAGTCCACACTCATTTATTCCTTGTTCATGGCCACAGAAGGACAAGCAATAGTACTTCCCTGGGCAGATGCTTCATAGCCCAAGACCCAGGATCTTGAAGGACTGGTTGAAAACTTTGCTAAATTTATAATCCATATCAGAGGCCAAGAAAAGGCCTGTGGCCAACCCATCCAGCAGCCCTGCCTAGCACAGGACTCAGGGCCCAAGAAGCACACGTTTCAGGTAGGCCAGCATGGTGGTATTGGCCAGCATCTCAATGTGCTCGCTGCCTGGTATCTCCTGCAATGATACTTGGTGCTCCTGCTGTCTTTTCCAGGTCCGGCAATGCAGGGCACTCTCCAAGTTTACAGTGCCATCGCCATCACCAAAGTAGATTTTAGGGTCGCGATCTGGGAAGCTGTCATAGTAGAAGGAGTCTGGTGTGGGAACACCAGTGCCATAGAGGCAGTGCAGCGGCACACCAGGCGGCAGCATGGCTTCAACCAGCCCATCTGTGTTCTGCCGCATGAACCAGCCGTCTTCAAAGCCAATGTCCTGGAAGAACCGGTGGTAGTCCTGCAGCGTATAGTTGGTCGTGGGTGTGTGTACAAATACCTTCTCAGGTGACCAGGTGTGGTTGTAGGGCAGCAGCCAGCTGGTGGAGACTGCAGACCGCTGCTGCTCCCGGATCTTCAGTGACTCAATGACAGGGATCCGGTTGTTGTCTCCTGCAGGGAGAGGGACCAGTCAGTCGTGCTGAGGAACACAAGCTGGCTGGGCAGCAGGTTTAGCACAGGCCCTCAGTCCAACGCCTAGCCAGTGGCCCAGTCAACACTCCAATAACTGTGCACTTAATCATCATTATAGCTTCCTTTCCTGCATTGGCTTTTACTGTTTTCCCTTTTTTTGCTACATTTGTGAAGCAAACATCCAAGCCTTGTTTTATTTCTTTTGGATTTCTTCACCAGGGATCTAGGTACCACACACCCTTAGGGTGATTTATTATGTTTCCTCACCCTAGGAGAAGCCTCTTTCGAAGGTATCATTATCATCCCACCTCAGGCACTGGCCTCTGTAAGGCAGGTGACCAGGGAGACAGCCCAGGGGCATTGTCATTTTTCTATTTTATCACAGTGAATAGTATACATGTTTTCCTTTTCTTAGTTAGACTCAGGTCAGCATTTAATCAGCATGTCTCATTTCAGCTCCTGCCTGTGCATGACCTGGGCAGCCAGACCTGAAAGAGACAAGGCAGGAGGGGAGGCAGCAGTTCACACACACAAATGAGACTACTTCGGAGTGAGGCTGAGTGAGCTTAACTGGGACCAGGGATGATGACCTACACAGGCCCCAGGGCTAACCATCACTTCACCCTGTATCTATAATCAGGGAGGGCCAGGGGACTTCGGCTCTGCCTGTGGAAAGTTGGCTCTAGGACCTCTGAGGACAGGGAAGCCTTAGGAGTATATGGACTTCCACCTCCCTACCCCTCACTCCCACTTATGGACGACCAGAGCCAAAAAAGTTTCCCAGCATCTGAGGCAAACTGTAAGGGGACTCTGAGGAAGCTCTGAAAGGGAATGGACCCTGAACTCTATCATGGCTCCCTGACCAAACTCTGAGATCCAGACTGGACAGAGGTGGTGGCTGTGATGAATCACTATATCTGAATGTTTGAGCCATGGGTTCACTGTTCAGTTGATTCAGGGTCACTACTGGGAACAGCACTTGGGCTGACTTGATCACAATGATCAGTTGACCAAACATGTCAGGTAGTGCCAGTGACTGGTGGAAGAAAGCTCATGAAACGTTTGGCACAGCCTTGCCTCATGGCCCCTAAAGTCAAGGTCCACAGGGCCCCTACCCAGTCCTACCAAAGGGTAGCAAGTTTCCCTCCACCCCATGGCTACAGCTGGAGGTTCTTATATTGGTTTTTTTCTTTTGTTTTTTGTTTTGTTCTGTTTGAGACAAGGTCTCACTATGCAGTTCAGGCTGCCAGCCATAAAAAGGCAAGTGGACTGGAAAGGTATCAGGAAGCGGGTGATTTTCCCAACTGCAGGCTTGCCTGATCTGCACCTGCTTCCTCCCTACATTGCCCACAGAGGTTCCTTCCTGCCCAAGATGGAGGTATAACTCATAAACAGGAAGTTGTAGTTCAGCCTTCCTCCTCTGATGCAAAGGTGAGGATGAAAAAGTAAGGATGGGGGTAAGAGAGAATGAGAAAGTTCCCCAAAGAACCTTGGGTAAAACCGAGTTCAGCCAGCCAGGCTGCACTATGTACTATGTGAACGTGTGTGTGCATGTGTGTGTGCGTGCGTGTGTGTGTGTGTGTTTGTGCGTACAAGCAAATACCTGTGTGACCAAGTGTTATGCCATTCCATGTACAAGGTGTAAGAAACTTAAACACATCACAAGGGCTATTGACTAGAAGTGAAATTAGGATAGTAAAATTAGGTGTTCCAAAAATATTTGAAAAAGAATGCTAGGGCCGGGGATTTAGCTCAGTGTTTTCGCCACCTGCTGCGCAAGCGCAAGAACCCGAGTTCAATCCCAGGTACCACAAAAAAAAAAAAAAAAAGAAAGAAAAAGAATGCTAGTTCTGGAGAAAGAAGAGTGCTGACCCAGGGAAGAGATATGAAGGGTACTGACTCGGCAAGATGAGGAAGAAAGGCATTTCTGGGACTGGTAGGTCTCACCTGAAGCCAGGACACGCAGGGTCTTGGCCACACCCCCCCAGGGGGCACCCAGTGACACGAAGGCACGGATATACTTGTCCTTCCAAACTTGTGGCTGCTGTTGCAGAAAGTATAGTGTGTACATGTTGCCCATGCTGTGGGCAACCAGCACCACAGGGCCCCCATACAGCTGGTGCATCTCTTCGATCATCTTTCGGAGGGCGAGGAAGTAGGCCCTGTTTTCATCTGTAGGTGAGAGTCAGGCAGAGGTCAGGTGGGAAGGATCCTGGGACCTGAACCACTGACTGTTCCTCAGGCCAGACCCAGGTCTAGGGTGTGGGAGAGTGCTAAAACACCCAAATGTGAGCATGCTGATCCTCCCTTATCTTCCATTAAGGGAGGACAAGGGGTTCCTTTTTCACCTCAGCAATATCGCCCCCCACCCCAGGCAAGGCTCAGAGGCCCAGATGCCCTTGGAGGAGGGATGGGAAAGGACAGGACAAGAATGACCAGGGGTGGTGGCTACGACTGCTGGGCTGGAGACCAGGGGTCTTGGGACAGGAAGAGCCCAGGGCCAGAGGAGAGGTCAAGGACTGTGGTGGCTGCGACGACCTTGACCTTGTCTAATTTCCCAAAATCACAGGGAAGGAATGAATGGGACTTCTTACTTGGGGCACGGCGCCAGTCGTAGGGGGCCCCTCGGACATCTTCACCTCGTGTGTAGCCCCAGCCCACAAGGCTGTCCACCATAGTATGGAAATAGGAACCTACAGACAGACACACATGGGATTAGAAAAAGCAGAGCCAGTGCCAACCAACCACACCATGCCATCACAGGGAGGTCCCTGGAGGAGGGCTAAAGCATCTGTGCCCACACTAATCAGACGGCTCACAAGCCATCCCTGGATCTCACAGGAATCCAAGGGGGTTCCTCCAACTCTAGGAGCCCAGCAGAGCCCCCAACCCATCCTGTGGAGCCCTTGAGTAAGAGCTACATACCCACACTGCTTTTGCTAGGGTCCAGGAACTCCAATGAGAAAGTCTTTCCAAAGCCAGGGACACGAACATCCACACCATCAGGAAAGTGGGTGGTCCTGGATGTTCTGTTGTAAACCAGCCTGTCAGGATGGGATACCACAACAGTGACCCAGAGGTGACATTGAGCTTGGTGTGTCTCACTACTGCTTTGTGACCTGAGTCATACTCCCTTCTTATCCCCAGGCTTGGTTAGATATACAGTACTGTATAAGAGAGACCAAAAGGTAACAGCAGATTTATAAATCCAAATAAGGATTCCTACCAAAGATTACTCCTGAGACTGACCAAGGGCCCTGTTAAGGCAAAACTGCCTTCTCCCCAGTGTCACCCACTCCAGAATGAGGGTCTTAGACCCATCTTGGCTTAGCCATGAACTTCATACTTGACCCCAGCAGACAACCCACCCCTGCAGACTCTCATTGCTCCATCTCCATGGATCCAGATCCTGCCAGCTAGCAGACTGCATCACAGGGCAAAGGAGATGGTAAGCACACCATACAACAGAATCAGCCAGGAACCCTGCCTCGGGGCTTAAGCACTTGTGGCTGCTGTTGTGGATACGTGCACAGGCCCCAGAGAAATAATGAGGGCAGATGGAGACAGGAGAAAGGCCTTGTGCAGACCGAAGTGGGTACAGCTGGGTCTGACTTGCTCTTAACACTGGACTCATCAACCAGCCTCCTCTCAATCATACAATCCATGAGGAAGGGGAATGAATCACACATGATATTTTCAGTACCCCAGGGCCATATCACCTGCCAGCAACTTCAAGATTCACGAAATGACACATGGAATGCCAGCTATTATTGGATCCCTAATAGCCCTTTGTTAATTTCCTACTGTGTAACAAATTATCATAGATTTAGCCACTTCTAACACAATATGTTATCTCATAGCTTCTGTAACTGCAGTGCCAAACAGAATCAAACAAGAGGGACCAAACCCTAACTCAGGGCTAAGTACATGGCTTCTCTACCTGTTCATCTCAAGTGAAGGGTCAAAGGCCTAGAGAGATTATGGGGATAAGGTAGAGGGAGAGGTGCTTCCAGGACAGGAACCCTGCTCTGTCCTTGCCTGACACTAAAGAGGCAAGTATGCCTAAAAAAACCTGAAGCTCATGGTGGTCTCGAGTCTTTCTGCCCCTCCTCAAAGATCAGCCATATAAAGATAACTAGACTCCTAGCACTGGCACTGACCCATATAATAGGTCCCAAAGACCCACTCTCTCCAGTTTGTAGATTGCCCCAATGACCACCCAGAAAATATGGAAAACTGTTCTGGAAAGCCAAAGTAGCTCTGTGCTAGAAGAGAATCTACAGCTGGCATGGTGGCACATACATGTAATTACGGCTACTACGGAGGCTGGGGAAGGAGGATTGCAAATTTGAGGCCAGCCTGAACAGTTTGAGACTTTACTGGCCAGGAGTGGTGGTGTACCAGGAGGGTGTGGCAGGAGGACTGCTGAGAGTTCAAGGCCAGCCTGAACTACATAGCAAGACCTTGTCTCAAAAAAACAACAGGGCTGGGGCTGAGGATTTAGTTCAGTGGTTCCAGTGCCTGCCTGCCTCGAAAGCACAAGGTCCGGAGTTTGATTCCTGGTACAACAAACAAACAAGCAAGCAAACAAAAAACAGACTATCTCAAAATAAATAAAATTAGCCAGGACCAATGGTGAATGCCTGTAATCCCAGAACTTTGGGAGGCTGAAGCAGAAGGATCACAAGTTTGAGGCCCACCTCGGCAATTTAGCAAGACCTTGTCTCAAAATGAAAAATAAAATTTTAGGGCCAAGGATTTAGCTCTGTGGTTCTGGCGCCTGCCTTGCAAACACAAGGTCCTGAGTTTGATCCCCAGTACCAAAAAAAAGAAAAAAAAGCCAGGGATTTAGCTCAGTGGTTCCGCCACCTGCCTCAAAAGCTCAAGGACCCGAGTTTGATCCTCGGTACCAAAAAAAAATGAAAAATAAAAATTTAAAAGGCTGGGATATAGCTCAGTACAAAGACTCTGAGTTCAATCCCCAGTACCCCAATGAATGAATGAATGCAGGGATGCAACTCAGTGGTATAATGCATATCTGGCATGTCCAATGGTTTAATCCCCAGTACGGAAGGGAGAAAGGGAGGGAGAAAAGAAAGAAAAAAGGAAGAGAAAGAATGGAAAGAAAAGAAAAAGAGGAAAGAAAAAAAAAAGATGAGGAGGGAGGAAAGAAGAGTGAGACAGAGGAGAGAGATAAAGGGAGGGAGGGAGAAAGAGAGAAAGGGAAGAAGGGAGGAAGGAAGAGAGAGAAAAAAATCTAAATGGGTCAGATGACCATCAAAGGCAGACAAGCCCTTCTCAGTATCAGTCCACACCTCAAACTGGCAGTACCTGAGGCCATGTCTCCAGCACAAAAATAGAAATGTGGGTCAACAATCCAGAAATAACTTGATCACACACTGAGGAAGAAAGAGTCAATAAAGCAGGCAACACAAACAACAGGGAAGGGCAAGGTACCTCAAGAACCAACCAGGTGGTCTCTGGCAAAACTTTAAAAGTCAGGTGTGGTGGGGCACACCTGTCATCCCAGCACTCAGGAGGCTGAGGCAGGAGGATCACCGTGAGTTCCAGGTCAGCCTGAACTACATAGAGACCCTGTCTCAAAAAACCAAACCAAACAAACAACAACAAAAAAACAACTTTTAATTATTCACAAAGCTCCAGTTAGCTCAAACATATACTGTTAATACACACCAAGTATGTTCTTGGTTCTCTTGCTATAAAGAAAAAACAGAGATAGAGAGATACAATCTCTGCTTTTAAGGAAACCAGTGTGGGACAGACAATTACACAATGCCAGGTCTGAATTGATTCCAACCATTTGCTGAATGGCTGCAGGCAATTTGTAACTTCTGTGAGCTTCCTAATTTCCTTAGTTATAGTTATTTTGAAGTGCTTAGTCTTTTTTGAAGCGCTGGGGATCAAACTCAGGTCCTTGGGCATGCCAGGTTAGCACTTAAGCTACACCTCTAGCCTCTGTAAAGCAGGCATAAAAACAGCACTTGTATCATTGGAGTCTTATAAGGCAAAATGAAAGAAAGTAGTCATGTGTTACTTGATGGGAATAGCTTTCGTGAAATACATCACTTGGCAGTTTCATTGTTGCATGAACATCACAGAGTGTACTTAAACTACACAGTATAGGTCAATCATGTGGCCTCTTGATGCAACCATGAGACTCAGTAAACACAAGACGTTATGAGGCTGCTGCTGGTATAACATGACATACTGTTTTACACTAACCCTTTTTGTATAAGTAAGAGTCTACTAAACACTGAGAAGTATAGCATAGTAAATACATTATCAGTAACACAGTCATTTAATATTAAGGTTTTTTTCTTGTTATAAAGTATGCTTGTTACTTACACCAGCATCACATAAACATGTTACACTACTAGGTTAGATGGCTATGACACTGTCACTAGCTAACAGAAGTTTTTCAGCTCCAAAATAATCTTTTTTACTTTTCTTTTGTGATCCAAGGGATTGAGCCCAGGGCCTTCACTTTTTATTTTGAGACAGGCTCAAACTTGCGATCCTCCTATTTCAGCCTCCCAGAGTGCTGGGATAATAGCCATGTGGCACCACTCCTGTTTTCCCATTGTAATTTTACAGAATCACCATCATATATGCAGTCCATTGTTGACTAAAATGTCACTGTACAGCACATGACTATAAAATACAGTGTCTAGGGCCGAGGATTTAGCTCAGTGGTTCCGCCGCCTGCCTTGCAGGCGCAAGGTCCCGAGTTCGATCTCTGGAACCAAGAAATAAAATAAAATAAAATAAATAATAAAATACAGTGTCTATATTTAATTTTTTTTTTTTGTACCGGAGATCGAACTCAGGACCTTGCAGTTGTGAGGCAGGCAGCGGAACCACTGAGCTAAATCCCTGGCCCATCTATATTTAATTTGATAGAATCATCCATATAAACATAGTTTGACATCTGACAAGTGTTAAAAGAAACTTGCATACAGCTGGGCATGGTGGCGCATGCCTGTTATCCTAGCATTCGGGGGCTGAGGCAGGAGTATTGCTGAGAGTTCAAGGCCAGTCTGAGCTACGTAGTGAGTTCAAGGTCAGCCTGAACTACACAGTGAAAACCTGTGTCAAGAAAGAAAAGAAAGGGCCAGGAATTTAGCTCAGTGGTTCTGCCGCCTGCCTTGCAAGCACAAGGTCTCGAGTTTGATCCCTGGTACAAAAAAAAAAAGAAACATGCATGTGTCCTGGGAAAAGGAGAGATTTCATAAAGGGACTAGAGTCAAGATTTAAAGGGCAGAGGGGCTGGGGATTTAGCTCAGTGGCACAGTGCCTGCCTTATAAGCGCAAGGTCCCGAGTTTGATCCCTGGTGCCAAAAATAAAAAAAAAATTAAAGGGCAAATGAGAGGCAGTGGTGGTACATGCCTATAATCCCAGCACTTGGGAGGTTGAGACAGGAGGATCACCCTGAGTTTGAGGCCAGCCTCGACTACACAGTGAATTCAGGCCCAGTCTGGACTACAGCAAGACCCTGTCTCAAAAAAAAAAAAAAAAAAAGATATAGAAGTAGATTCCATGTAGCAAGAATAGTGTGCAAAGACATGGAGACATGGCACATCCCAGAAAGAGGAAGCAGCTGGAGAAACAAGGGTGGATTGAGGCCTGAGGGCCAAGGGCCAAACTGGAGGGGAGGGCCAAGAGCAGCAAGAAGAGGAAGAAAGTTCTGCTGGGAATGCAGAGATGCTGCCAACCAGATCAGATCAGACTGAAGGCCTGGAGAGGGAGGGAGCAGGGTCACTGACCTTGTGAAATAGTGATGAAAAGGGAACAGTCTCTGGAAGCCCCTCTGGCCCCCACTGGGGAGTGCCACCCCTCTGCATGCCCCAGCCCACACCTGATATTGTCGACCCAGCAGTCAATGATGACTGGCAGCAGGAGTTCGAGGTTGAGCCAGAGTGTGAAATAGCTGTCAGTCCTTTTGGAGCAAAGGTAGTGCACAACCGTCGGCTTGTCCAGCTTTGCTTCCAGCTGGTTGCCCAAATCACCAGGTACTGCAGGAGGACAAAAGATACACGTGAGAGCTGGGCCTGACAGGCTGGAGATCCCCAAGAACCCTAAAGTCCTCAGAAGATTCCCCAGCCATCAGTACCATGGCAGACCTTGCAGTTCCACTCTGCAAATTAAAACACAGTTCCAGGGACAGAAAAATGAGAAAGTAGGGACCCTTACACAGAGGCCAGGGCACCAACTTCAGGCAGAAAAGCTGCTAATGCTGCAGGGCGCAGAGTAAAGAGAAGGAAGCCTTCCGTCACATACTCTGCAGGGGGCTTGGGAGAGCCTGAAGTGTTTTAGGGGAAGTCCCTAACACTCTCCCCAACTCCAGACAAAATACTCTGCAACTGCTGGGTGTGGTTGCACACACCTGTAACCCCAGCATTCAGGAAGCTGAGGCAGGATTGCCACAAATTCAAGGCAACCCTGGGCTACGTAGTGAGCTCAAGGCCAGCCTGAACTGCCCAGCAAGACCCTGTCTCAAAAAACAAACAGGAAAAAAAATACAAGCAAAAAACACGCCACTACCACCAGATCTTTACTGGAACATGGTCCTGGGCCACTGAGATTAATGAAAGGGGGTTCAGGATGAGGCCACTTCCTTCAGTTCATCTGTCAAATGAGATCTCGGCCAGAATCAACCTTCACAAATACAAATACAGTTTCTTTGGTTAATAGACCCAGAAGAGAGTTCTGACTAGGACAGGCTTAGAAACAGTACTGGGTTTTCCAGAACCCCTAAAGTTTGTCCAGAACTTCAGCCCTGTCATTAGATATATACCCTCAAGGATTAAACCTAATAGCCCTCAAGGATTAAACCCATAGCCATTACAGGCTACCAAAAATAAACAAACAGACAAGGCCTTATTCATCCTGAGAAAGGAAGTGAGAAACATGACAGAGCAGTAGGACACTGAACCAGCCAGAATTGAATCCAGAGAAAGTATTCTTCCACAGGTTTGTGTGATTTTTTTTTTTTTGGTACCAGGGATCGAACTCTGGTCTTTGCGCTTTCGAGGCAAGCGGCAGAACCACTAAGTCAAATCCCCGGCCCTCTTGCACAGGTTTGTGGGAGGGAGGCCATGAAGAAAAACACTGCTGAGAGAAGTTTAAACTGGTACCTCCCGGCCTACCAAGGTCCCCAGTCCTTGCTAAAGAGCTCAGTAAAGTTCCAAAGGGCTGATTATCTGGAGGGCCCTAGTATGGCTGACAGCCTGTGTTAGATATGAAATAGCACCTCTTGCTGCCACAGCCCCATAGAGGTGGGTGTGACCAGATCCCAAGGAAGACCTGACCCCATCCCAGATAAGACACACAGAGGAGCCCTGGGGCCCTGTGACACTCAAGCACACCCCCACTGCTTCACTCCCCAGCATTCAAACCCCTTCATAGTCTATTTATCCCATTAACCTTTTAGGCACACCTGCCCCCACAGGCCATGCTCCTGATACTTCACAGACACAGCACATTTAAGATCCATGGTCTCTTAGTGAACAGCTAGTGTTTGGATCTCCTGGGCATTCAATGGGCATTGACTATGAACACAGCTCAGCATGGGGCATGCCTTCTGTGAGCAGCAGGGTGGCACAGGAAGCAAGCATAGCACCTACCCTCACCTTCCTTCGTGACATGAGGGCAGAGGCTGGGAGTCCCCAGCATGATAGCCTCTGGATGACTTGTCAATACCTTAAGCAGATCACTATCTCCAACAAAGGGGAAACAGATGAAAGAGGAAGTCACAAGGTCTGCTTTGCCAGATATCCTTTGCCCCAGAGGCTATGTGGCCTCTAAAAATGGCCGTGGTCACTCGATTCCTGAGACCCTCTATCTGAAACTAGGACAAAAGTCAGGCATGGGTCTTTTACCTCATATAACCCTGGAAGGGTACAAATTTACCCCCACTTAACAGATGAGCAAACAGGCTGGGAGAATTGGGAATGGGTTGCCTACAATCCCTTCCCCCTGCCCAGGGTTACTTGTGGCTTTTGCCTTTTTCAACTCAGAACCTACCCCAAAAGGATTTTGGGGTGGTTTTTTTTGAGACAAGATCTTGATAAGTAGTTCAGGCTGGCCTTAAACTCACTGTGTAGCATAAGCTGGCCTCAACCTCTCGGTGACTCTCCTGCCTCAGCCTCCAGAGTGCTGGGATTACACGTGTGCACCACTACGCCCAGCACGTAAAGGATTTTGACCCTTAAGATGAGAAACCCGCTCTGTGCCTAGGAGCAGTTTGTCCACTGCCCACCAGGAGGTCTCTCTCTGAGTTCATATCCAAAACCTTACTCCCAGAGAAGATGGCCAGGGAAGGATTCCAGCTGCTCAGGCTCCTCTGCTGCAACCTAGGATAAGCAAGGACTGGATAAATTAATGAGTGCATTAGCACCAATCCAGGCAAAAAGGCTGAGTAATGCCCTTCCCAGTGTCAAACCTCTCATACTTAGAACTCTTCAGCTCCACACATGGCTTCTTGTGACCCTTCCAGGGTAAAGTCCAGATGACCCAAGGAGTCACAAGCTCAGCACAATTCACCCCTTACCCCACCTCACTCCAGCCACCCGAAACTGTTCACCTCTCTCCTAGTATGCAGTTCCCTGTCTGACCTCAGTTTCAGCATACTCCAGAAAACCCTTCCTGACACCCACTCATCCAGACTGGCTCAGTGGATTCTCTGTTTTCCCAGCACAGACTTCATCTGAGGGCCACTGTTAGTTTTAATTTGGAAGCTTGGAGAGGCAAGGCTAAGTCTGTACATATTCAAGGTGAATCTGGGCCCAGAATCCCTCTTAATCATTCATTTCTTTGTCTGGGGCTTCCCAGGACCACCTTGCCAGCTGTCTACCCCGCCCTTCTGTGGTCTGCATCATCCCTATTTATTTATTTAATTTTTTTGGTACAGGGGATCGAATGCGGGTAATTGCGCTTGCAAGGCAGGCAGCAGAACCACTGAGCTAAATCCCTGACCCTGCATCATCCCTATTTAAATATTCCCAACAGAAGGGCCAGGGATTTAGTTCAGTGGCACCATACCTGGCTCACAAGTGCAAGGTCCTGAGTTGGATTCCTGGTACTGAAAAAAAAAAAAAAAAAGAACATTTCAATAAGGGAAATTATTTTTATGTCATAAAATTTTTTTTGCAATTAGGTGATAAATGCTCATTAAATTTTCCTATTTCTTTTCATGCACCATTTCTGGATCTATCACTTCCTTTATTTCTACAAGGAAAACATCCATCAAATGTTTTAAACTGAAGACAAAAATGATTGTTTTACCCTTTTGATATGTCAAAAGTAGCAAGAACCCTAATGAAGTAAACCTATTGTGCATTTTGAAATGTGAAGACAGAGAGCACTCAATCTTCAAGAAGAGTGTTGAAGGGCCAAGTAAGTACTGGTATTAAAAAGGGCTACAATCATGGGCGATATAAACAAACTTTTAATTTTCATGTGATATTTTGAAACTACAAAATACCCATGCAAAAAGTTATTAAGAATAATGCCTTGGGGCTAGGGATTTAGCTCAGTGGTGCCGTCGCCTGCCTCGCAAGCACAAGGTCCTGAATTCGATCCCCGGTACTAAAAAAAAAAAAAAAAAAAAAATCCCAACAGAAAGAACATGGGGAGCCGGGGATTTAGCACACTGGAATGCACAGTGCCTACCTAGCAAGTGTGAGGTCCTGAGTTTGAGCCCCCCCAAAAAATACCAAAAAAAAAAAAAAAGGAAGAAAGAACATAAGGGGAAATGGAAGGTTGGTCATGTTTCATTAGACTCAGTATGTAACATATGTCTCAATATATCTCTGTTCTCAGGAAATATACCAACACTCCAGCTCTAAATGAGAAGGCCCCTAAGGCTCCCCAGACAGAAGTCTCATCCTGCCCCATCAGCACAAGGAAGCACTGTCTTTCTGTAGAGTTGCCAGGTCTGGGACCAAGGAAGAATTGGCCAGGGGAGGTTACTTAGCCTCAGCATAGTTTAGTCTAATTAGGCCTGGCAGGGGTGAAAAAAACATGCATACTCCTTGACACCTGCTTATGGTTGTTGTCCTAACACTCTCCCCTGTCTTTAGCCATCCTTTTTTTAAGCTGGTCTCCTTCCTCAGGCTCAATGTCACCCATCTGATAAGTTGAGGGTGAGTGGGAATGAGGTTGGTGGCCAGTTCTGGGGAACTACCAATCCTTTCCCCCAAAGAGGGTGCTTCCAGTAATGCTCTAAAACATGGAAGGAAACATAGGGCTGGAAGTATAGAGGATGATACCCTCCTAGGTAGGCCCCAGATCAACTTGGAGGCCAACTCTTGAGGGCACCCTCCCCACCCCCATCAACCATTCGGAGTGGGGCTGAATGGCCTGTCTTTCCAGCTAAAAAATGTGGATGTGGTGAGGCATGGCTTGATGTAGAAAGGTGGAGTGGAGGTGGGGTGGAGTGGGGTACACCTATAATCCCAGCACTCTGGAGGCTGAGGCAGGATGGCATGGAGTGGCTACATAGTGATTTCAAGGCTAACCTGACTACATACATCCGGGACCCTGTCTCAAAAACACAAAACAAACAGACAAAAAACAAGAAAGAAAGGTAGGTGAAGTTGACAACCAGACAGTAACCCTTCCACACCCATCTTTTACTTTTACAAGGGTCAGGTGGTAGGAGGTTGACCACACCCGTGCTCAGCAGGGCGGGAGGTGGATGGACAGACTCAGGTGACAAGACAGACATCAAGACACACCTCCATGCCGTGCTTAAAATAGATGGAGACCAGAAGACAGCCCTACTCTGCTCCCGGTCCTATAGGACCGACCCACCACGAGACGCACGCCTCACCGAGCACCACTGGGGGGTGACGTTGGGCGGGGAGCGCCGGGTCCGCGAGAAGCATTAGTAGTAGCAGAAGAAACATGAGGCCAGGCAGGAGCACGGCCACGGGGCAGGGGCAGAGGCGGCTGTCGGTGGCGTGCGAGCGCGGGTGCAGGCCCGACGTAAAGGCTCACCACTCCTGGCTTGTGCCTAGGCCAGGGCGACTGCGACGTGCTTTTAACCCCACCGCCAGCTCCCCGCAGCCGCTAGGGGCGGCCCAGCCAATTAAGACCCGCCTCCCGGACGCGGGCTGCCAATAGAGTCTCGCCCCCGGCGCGTCTCTCCTGTCTGAGCTCATCGCCCCCCCCCCCACTCCGGGGCCTGCTTCCAGAATCGCGTTGCACGCCGAGCGTATCGATCGGCAGCTGCTGGAGCGTCCCGGCTCCTGGCTCTCAGCCGGCCTCTGAAGCTCACGCCGGTTGTGTACCCAGCCAAGCCTCTTGGTACCCGAGGTCCGCGCTGCGGAGCTCTCTCGATTCCTGGCGTCTCCCTAACCTGAACGATCGGACACTGACCTGGCGGAGAGAGGAATACGGGGCCTGAGATAGCCGTGGCTGAGCGACCCTTATCGAAGCAAAAAGAACCGTGGCCTGGGCAATCGCTGGGCCATGGTTGACCAACTCTTGACCAGCACCTTTGTGGGACCCCTACACCTGTCCCCCAGGGCACCAAGGTTCGGCCAAACAATCCCCTACACACTGCCTTGAAGTTAGATGCAAGTTATTCTGTAACTGGCACTGCAAAATGGAACTTCAAATGTTAGATTTGTTTTCTTGTAGAGATGGACAATTTTTCCAAACTTCGTCCTGCTGAACATGTGACCAACACCCTCTCCTCTCCTCACCCCCGAAAAAGTGACAGAATATGCAGATGCTGACACCAGGAGACGCGGAGCTCAATTTCCTTTCTACAGGAAGGGGTACAATGAGCTGAAGATGGCTGGAAGTGAAAAAGCAACTGTAGAGGTTTGCATTACCGCCGTGTCCCTTTCAATCCTGTTCCTTACTGTAAAAGGCCCTTACCCACCTGTACACCAAGAGATATGATTTGAGGCAAATGGGCCCCTCTATCTCTTCAGAACTAGCTTTGAATAAATTCTTTTTCCTTTTTACCAAAATATAGGGCTTCCTTTGGTTTGATCAGTGCTAGTAAAATATGAACCTGAGTGGCTGGAAACAAGGTCTTTCTTTCTAAGTCAAGGATCCGTTCACTGGGCTTAGGGACGTAGAGTATGGGATAACCCGTGCGGCAGTTTGGGAGCAGAGTTGGGAATGAGCTCGAGCCTGGACCCTGAACCATGGTCCACCTCTTAAGTTCCCCTGCAGAGTGTGAGGGGTATGGAGCTGGTCTTTACCCACTACTCCTGCAGACCTGCACGTCCACAGAGGACACCCAGTCCCTGCACCAGGAATCTGGGGTGAATGGAACAGGCAGAGGCCCAATAGGAGGTAATCTACCAGCACCCATGCCTCACTCTGGCATACTCTGGTATACAGGGACCAGTGTATTAGGGGAAGGGAAGTCTTGATCCTCCCTAAAACCCTCCCGAAGGCCAGCTACACCCTGGTTGTCCCTGCCTGGTCCCAAGACCTCTGTCTCACCACTTCCTTTTTCTTGGTAAACAGCTGATCACTGCCTTGGCCTTCCCTCCTGATTTTTTTTTTTTCTGGTACTGAGGACTGAATCCAGGATCTTGAAGGCCTTCCCACTCTGTTAAAACCCCTGACTCTTTCTTTTATTTTTATTTATTTTTTTGGTACCGGGGATCGAACTCAGGACCTTGCACTTTCGAGGCAGGTGATGGCACCACTGAACTAAATCCCTGGGCCCCCTTTTTTTATTTTTTATTTCAAAACAGGATCTCAAATTGTAAATTTCTGAGGCTAGGTTTAAGCTTTCTTTTTTTTAGGTTTAAGCTTTCAATCCTCCTGGCCTTGGCCTCTCAGTGTGCCAGAATTACAAGTGTGTACCACGGCACCTGGCTTCCCCCAAATTCTTTTAGTGAAACACTGTCATAGAATATCCTCCTCTCTTAAACTCCAATTACCCCTGTTTCAGCCTCTGCCTTCCCTATCTTCACCCCTGACACCAGCAGAGGATTGCTGAAAACTAATCTGTTGAAGGCCTAGTGTGAGAGACTATAGAAACCCTTTTGCCAGGGCTAGGGACAGACAGATGTCCGGAGCTACAGGTTACGTGGGGGAGAGGATGGATCAGGAGGTCCTGGATAGCCTTGGACTCTGGCCATGGTCTGAATGTCTTGCTAGCCTAGTGTGGGGTTTGTTTTTTTTTTTTTTTTGGTACCAGGGATTGAACTTGAGTCCTTGCGCTTGCACAGGAGGTGTCGAAACCACTGAGCTAAATCCCTGGCCCCTAGTGTGGTTTTTGTTGTTTGTTGTTGTTGTTGTTGTTGTGTTGGGGGTGTACCAGGAATCAAACTCAGGAACTTGTGCTTGCCAGGTGGGGATGGCACTGCTGAGCTGTATCCCTGGCCTTAGCCCAGTGTTTTGTTTCATTTTTTGGCTTTTTTTTTTTTTTTTTGGTACCAGAGATTGAACTTGGGACCTTGCTCTTGTGAGGCAGGTGGCAAAACCACTGAGCTAAATCCCCAGCCCACTCCAGCATTTTTGACATAGAAAAAAACATAGCTCCCAACCTTTTAGATGTCAAATATGCTGAGTTCGTGGTCTTACAATATCAAAAAATGAAGTGGCAAACTAAAAGAAGAAGTTAAGAGAGTTTTACTGGAAATAAGGAGAAAGGGAATAGCTCCTGGATTTTTTGGGAAGGGTCTCAAGTGAGTGGTCAATGAGGCCCTTTGTGAGAGGTTTGTGATTTTTATACAGCAAAATCACAATATGGGTACAATGTGGGTCAAAGTACAATTATTATAGGCAGATAAATTAGATAGAAATTAATATACAGTCAGAAAGGGAACTGGGCTGTCAAGGAAGTCAGCAGAAAAAATAGACATCAGAATTATCACTGGAGGAGCATCTGAAGGAGACCAGGCCTCAAGATAAAGATGCAATAAGCAGGCCTACATGCCTCCCCTAAGGGATAAGTAATAACTTGGCTATACTATAACTGATATCACCTGGTCCAGTAAAAGTCAAGATAGACATCAGTCACCCAGGTGGGTAACCAGAGCATCTAAACCTATCCCTTCCCCAAAATGCCTTTGTTCTTTTCATGTATCCTCGGTTGATTATAGTTTGACCCATATTGTACCCACCTCCTATTTGCTCTATGAAACATTCTTAGAGAAGTGGCCTTGGTGGCAACCCCCTTCCAGGATACCTCCTGTCTCTCAGGAGCTGTTCCTATTCCTCAATAAAGCTTTTCCAATCTTTAAAAAAAATTTCTTTTTTTGTACCAGAGATCGAACTCAGGACCTTGTGCTTATGAAGCAGGCAGCAGAACCGCTAAGCTAAATCTCCAGCCCAAGCTTTCCTACTCTTAACCTCCTCTGTCCTTTGGAATTCAATTTTTGGTTTCAGGGGAACCAAACTCAGCATAGTTAACATCTAGCAGGTTGGGAGTTATATTGTCTCCTATATCATAATCAACCTAGGATTACAAGCATAGCCACTTAGTTAATATTGATCCAATTGATCCAATAGGGAAACCAGTCATGTAGCAAGGGTATATGTAAAGATCAAAGGAGTTCTTGGAAAAGGAAAGGAGTATAGGTCTAGATGTTCTAGTATCCCCCGTGTATCCAATGGCCACTGGAACAGGTAGTACTAATTATAGTATATATGAATTTTTTTTTTTTTTTTTTGGTACCGAGGATCGAACTCGGGTCCTTGCACTTGCGAGGCAGGCGAGGCAGGCAGTGGAACCACTGAGCTAAATCCCCGGCCCCACTAATTACAGTATAATCTCAAGTTGTTTATCTCTAGGGAGGGGAGGCTTATGGGCCTGGCTATTGCTTTTCCATCCTGAGGCCTGGCTCTCATCATTTGCCTCCAGCCACGATTCTAATGTCCTTATTTTTTGTGCTGACTTCTTGAGCACCCAGTCCCTCCTTGACTATATTTGTTTCTATGTAATTTAGCTGCCTAAAATAGTTTCAGGTGGGCCAGGGATTTAGCTCAGTGGTTCTGGTGCCTGCCTCACAAGTGCAAGGTTCCAAGTTCAATCCCTGGTACAAAAAAAAAAAAAGTTTCAAGTGATCATGGGCCCCCAGAAGGATTGTCAGAATTGTCCCATTGTCAGGAGGGGTTCACTGGTGTCCCAACCTCACAAGTCAGGCAGATGTCACAAATCGTGATTATTGGAGGAGAAGTACCAAGACCTTGTCAACACTGATTTTTTTTTTTTTTTTTTTTGGTACCAGGGATCGAACTCGGGTCCTTGCGCATTCGAGGCAGGCGGCGGAACCATTGAGCTAAATCCCTGGCCCAGCACTGATTCTTTCTGGCATTGTGGAGAAGGATCAGAAGGTAAGTATCCCCCTTTTTACAACAACCCGGCCATCTACCCAAACCCTTGCCTCCAGACCTGGGTCATCCCCCACCCTAGGTGCCTCCTTGCTTCGAAGGTCCCCAAGATAGTGGTCAGTAAGTCTTCCTAGCTCTACCTTCCGAAAGACGAACTATCCTCATCCCCACAGCAGCCTCTTCATTGGTGTCCCCAGTTATGCCCTGACTCCTCTGGGTTGCTCTCCACGTGCCACTAAATGTTAAGTTAAGCCCTGTCACTCTCCCTCTAACTCCATTCACAACTTTCCCAAGATGTGTCTCACTCATAGTGAATTAGGATGCTGCAGGGTGCTCTGGGCCTATTTCCCCCGACTTCTACTCCCCCACTTCTCCAGCTTGCTCTTGTCCAGCTTCAATGGCTTCCTTGCTGCCTAGAACAGGCTAACCTTATTGCCCCTCAGGACTTCTGCACTTCCTAGAGTGAGACCACCCTGTATTCTCCTTTTAGGGACTCTATTAAGTTCTACATTTAGGCCTCAGCCCAGCAACCTGTGAAATTGAAACATCCCCTCCCTGGCTTCCACTGGACTATAATGATTGCCAGAGCAAGCTCTTCACTTGTCCTTTTCCCTTCTATCCCTGGTTACAAGTTACCACCTAGCATAGTTCCTAGCACACAGCAGTTGGTTTTTTTGTTGGTTTTTTTTGTCACACTAGGGATTGAATCCAAGCCCTTTGTGATACAGGAGAAATACATGTGCCAAGTTTATGTCCCCTGAAATGGAAGAATGCATTCCAAAGGACAAAGGAGGTTAAGGCTAGGAAAGGTTTATTGAGAGGTTTATTTATACAGTAAAGTCACAATGTGGGTACAACTATAATCAAACAATAGGATTACAAGTATAGCCACTTAGCTAATATTGATCTAATAGGGAAGTGAGTCACTTAGCAAGGGGACACGGAAAAAAACAAAGGCATTTTGGGGAAGGGATGGGTCCAAATGCTTTGGTCACCTGTAGGGAACAGGGGAAGGGGACGTTACCAGAACCTCTGCAGTAAGTCCTAGTCTCCTGCGAGCCACGGCAGCACACAGTGAATTACAGGAAAGGTAGACAAATGAGACTGAGAAGCTGAACTTTGGGTCTGATCAGTGCTGCTCTGGGTGGCAAAGACTAGAAGCCCTAGCTTGCAGCACCTTTTATTTAGTACATCTGAAGAAACAAATGTAACAAATGAATATGTAGATTTCAGTATCACATTGGGATGAACAAGGTGTATCAAAAGACTGGGTGGGGGCGGCAAAAATCTAAGAACAATGAGGAACTATGCAGATGAAGATTTGGTTCCTCCCAGGGTGTCTCTTGCAGGTGTGGTCTTGTCCTGGAGCATTACAGCATCAAGGGATCATTGAGATCTCCCTTGTGACCTGAGGCCAAAATGGAATTATGTCTTGGAGTGTTATAGCTGGCCTGTAGGCAGGAGAACTAGGCCTACTCAAATGATTTTTCCCTAGAATTATGTAGCATTGCTCCCAACAGTCACCCACCTGGGTGACTGATGTCTAGCTGGACTTTACTGGACCAGGTGATGCCAATCACAGTATAGTCCCAAGTTATTGTTTATCCCTCAGGCAGGCACATAGGCCCGGTCATTCCATCTTTACCTTTTTTTTGTACTGAGGATCGAACTCAAGACCTTGTGCTTGCCAGGCAGGCATGGTGCCATTGAGCTACATCTTCAGCCCTCCATCTTTCTTGAGGCCTGTCCTTTAATGGATGCACCTCCAGCCACAGTTGTGATGTGTTTCATCTTCTGCACTGACTCCCTCGAGGGCCTAGCTCTGACTGCCTATTAATTTCTATCTAACTTAGCTGCCTATAATTTTTGTACTAGCTATATCCCCAGCCCATTTTATATTTTTTGAGACAAGATCTCACTAAGTTGCCCAAGGTGAGTTCAAACTTATGATCCTCCTAGGGCCCGGGATTTAGCTTAGTGGTTTTGCTGCCTTCTGCGCATCTGCACATACACAAGGAACCGAGTTCAATCCCCAGTACCAACAACAAAAAACTTATGATCCTCCTGCCTCAGGCTCCCAGAGTGCTGAGATTACAGGTGTGTATGACCAACAGCAGACATTTAGTATGTGTTGAATTGATATAAGGGGAATAGATGTAACCCCCAAACCTGCTAGACAGCTGAAGAGTGAGTTCATGCTCTCTAAAATCGAAGAATGAATTCTAGGAACAATGGAGGTTATGAGTAGAAAAAATTTATTGAGAGAAAGCAAGCTTCTAAGAGAGACAGAAGGGGAACCAGAAAGTGGGTTGCCCACTGACCCTGCTTCTCAAAGGTGTTTTATGGGACAAAGCCTTGAGGTGAGGTGGGTTCAAGGTGGGACAAAACTATAGTCAATTAGTAAGAATGCAAGTACAGTTGCTTAGATAATACTAATCCAATGAAAAATCACAAGGTGGGCAAAACTATGATCAACTAATAAGATCAGGACAAGTATAGTCACTTAGATAATACTGATTAAATGTGTACAAGAAATGAGCATGGATTTTCGGTAAGGGGTGTGTCAGGGATCTTGGAAGATCTTGGTCCCACCCAGGTGATTG